ACCCTCTGAACCCTGAACCCTCTAAACCCCTCAACCCTCTGAACCCTGAACCCTCTAAACCCCTCAACTCTCTAAACCCTAAACCCCTAAGCCCTAAACCCTAAACCGGCCTAAACCCCTAAACTCTCTAAACCCTGTGCCTAGCAAGGCCAGCTTCCCGCAGGATTGGAGAAGCACGGTGAAGAGCTGGAGGACTGCCTCGGCTGGTGGGCAACAACAGCTTCAGTTTAGGGTTTAGGGTTCAGGGTTTAGGGTTTAGGGTTCAGGGTTTCGACGCTCACACTCGCACGCAGCAGGCAAGGCGTTTAGGGTTTAGGGTTTAGGGTTCAGGGCTGAGGGTCTAGAGTTTGGGTTTTAGGGTTCAAGTTTAGGGCCCCGGGTTCAGGGCCTACGGTTTAGGGTTTAGGCTTTCTATACGATGACTGCTTGTGAATTGACTGTAAGGGCTACGACACCGTTTCTCTTATTCTTATTCTGCTCGCAAAGGCCGCGACTTCTCATGAAAACCCATGTGTGCCCTTCCTGCTGGACCCTCATCCCTTCACCAAATCCCAACCCCACAATCGCCCCTCCACTAAAAGCAGACATCTAAACTCTAAACCCTAAAACCCAAAAATCCGAAATGCACACAGGAAAGCAGAAATCCCAAACTCTGAATTCAGCCCAGGCTCCACTTTGAAGACGTAGAGGCTGCCGTCGATTCCAAAGAACCTTGCACTCGGAGCTACTGGCACTGGTTGATTCCTCCTCCTCAGACTCCAATGCCTACTCCCACTCCTGCAGCCTTGATCGGTATATGGTCTTTTGGCACATGTGTGTTTCCGCAAATAGGGGACCCTTATATAGTACCCTAAATAGTGGGATCCTTATTACAAGGACCCCATATTAAGATACCCCTAGTTTTCGGAAACTCCCACATGTTTCACAAACAGCGCTACAACGCCCTACCAAGCCTCTCGTAGATTTTGTGCATGGGCTTGCTGCGCTTCCCGGGCGCCTTGGAACGATGCAGAGCGTTCCGAGTTAGTGCGGCTGCTAGACCTTTGGGATACTTACTACCCCAATAAGCCACAGACATAAAAGGTTAAACTTCCCGGTTCCTACTCAAAAAGTTTGAAGGTTAGGTATTGGGAATCTAAGGATAATCCTGAAGTCTTGAACCTGACATCCAAATCGCCACAGTGTTTTTATCTTGGGGCTCCTGGAGACATCAGAGCCACAACATACCCACAAGCAACGCCCACCAAACATCTCCGTCCTTAACCTGTAGCCCCAGTGTGACCTGAAAGTAGTCATGCCAACAAGCGGAATATCTTAAAACTCGTCCTGGCATGATTACAGCCACAGGCACCATCATTATCAGGATCATCGTTGCTACGGCTGTCGTCGGCATTGTCAACATGCCAACAGAAAACGGAGTGGCGACACTGTTGATACTGGTAATGGTCTCTTGCAAGTGTTGAAATTCTGCCGCAAAGAATACGTAGCAGCCGACTACTTCCAGGCTCTCAGCACGTGAGACGTTAGTGCCCAGGAATTCTGTGAATTTGCTGGGGTTGTTCCACCGGCTTCTTGGCCCACATAGCGGCTTGAGCAGCTGATGTAAGCTTTGCTTGGTATGCCACGGCGATAAGGCAGGAACCTCATATATTGAAGCTGAGGTTTTAGAGCGACGACCTGCCGCCGAAGTACGGACTTCAGCGTCCACAGGCTCTGGGCACGGAGGATGTCGCTGGCAAAGATGACGATCTGGGAGTTTCCGAAAATGGGGGGCACCTTAATATGGGGTCCTTATAATAAGGATCCTACTATTTAGGGTACTATATAAGGGTCCCCTATTTTCGGAAATCCCCATCTCAGTGCTGCTTTAGTCCAGGTCTCTGGCGGCTCGGATCTCTCAAGAGGGGAAGGGGGATGTGGAGTACTGCCTGCACTTTGGAAGCCCGATGCCTTCTGGGCTCCAGTGACGCTCTAGGAAGATGAATCTAACTCCTGGAAATATCAAACTACCTCTCGCTACGAACAGAATGCAGGAACGCAGCGGGAATCTTACTGCTTGTTTAAGGCATCAGTGTTTTGCGGTGCCTTACGGCTTGACTAACAGGCCCAGGCACAAGTGGCTGGAAAATTCATTCAGATTAGGGGGCCTGAACACGCATCAAGACTAGTCGCGCCTTTGCCGCCCAGACCTTCAGCGGACTGCAGGCTCCAAGTGATCCAACTACGCGTACGGCGCACATACACACGGCCATATCCCTCCCAAGCCCTGGATGCAGAGGGGCCGATGATCCTGTTGTTGAAAGACTGGATTGCCTTTTGCGGGGTTCCTGGGAAGGGTGCAGTACAAGAAGATGTTTGGGATGAACCATGCTTACATCTCGAAGTTCTGCGGATCCAGGCAGTTGCGCCTCCTGAGGTCCGATCCATTGAAAGCCTGGGGTTTGCACTGCACCCCTCAACTTAAGCTTAACACCTCCTTCGTCAAGCCTCACTCCAAGCAAACTCCTTTAATAGCCACTCCACTCTCAACAACCCTAAACACTAGACCCTAAACCCTAAACCCTAAAAACACTAGACCCTAAACGTTAAGCCTTAAAACCCCCGAAACCTGGCCTCAAACCCTCCGAATCTCCTCTGAAATGCAGCCAAGCCCTCATGGACCACATAAGGCAGGCTGTACATCAAGCCGTACCTCTGCTGATAGCTTACCTTAACCCTGAAGAACCTACCTTTTTAGGGTTCCCTATTATGATTTCCTTATATAAGTCCTTAAAAAGGTAGGTTCTTCAGGGTTAAGGTAGGGTTTACGGCTTAGGGTTCAGAGATTAAGGCTCAGGGCTTCCGGTGCTCGCACTCGGACAATCCACTAAGCTTTTGCTCCCTCCACGAAGCTTTAGGGTTAACGGCTGCTGGGTGTGGTGTAGGGTTCAGGCTTCTTAGGTGTGGTGGGGCAAAAAACCATGATAACCATCGGCCATCAGGGCTCAGGTGCGACGAAGATCCATGAGGCTAGTGTTGATGAACGTGGTATGGTGCATACTAGCACCAATACAAGTTTGTGCCTGCTGAATCTACCACCGTCTAGACGTGGTAAGCTTGCTAATCCTGCTACGACGTTTTCCCTCTTAGGCGCAACACTCTTCACAGGTGTGTCTGCGTGGTATTTGTGGGCTGGGCATTGGGGCCCGTTGGGGAATGCCTCGTAGCCTGTGCATGTTGGACCTCCAATACAGACCACAACGGCAAACCCCACAACCCAAAAAAACAACCTGTCGCGATTGCCCTTCTTCAGGATTGTTGGAATACCACTGGGGCCCGGATGAGCAACATGCATGTTGCCTAGCCACATATGGTAGCTCTTCAAAGCTAGTCAACAGATATGCATGCCAAGCCGAGAAGGAGGGCCGGGCACGAGAGAACTCGAACCTGAACTACGCGTGCACTTCTATGACGTGTGACTCAGGAAGTCTTCCAGTCTAGAATCGTGAACACCCAGAGACTCCCATATCCCTTAACTAAGGAATATACCTTAAATCATGTAAGGGATCCTACCATAATTTAAGGAATATTCCTTAATCAAGGGATATTGGAGTCTCTGGGCACTTGACACCACACAGCTCGAGAGGAACACGTCCTACCCAGGCCAAGGCAGCCTAAACTATCCTAAACTAACCAGCGGTTTTGGGGTTCCCTTGGCTCTTTAGCTCCTAATTGAATAGGAATTATCATGATCCCTGGCTCCTCAGCTCCCCCAATATCAATGGTTAGCAAAAAACCTCCCAACTCCCCAGCTCAGCTGCAGCAGGTTGAGGAAGAAGGCGTCCTTTGGGAGGCCACTTGAAGGACCATGGGACTTAGTAAGTATAGGGTTATAAGTAGGTTGAGGAAGAAGGCGTTCTTTTTCCAGGGCTCCAAGTATGCAAATAGGACCTACTTTGGGGTCTAAAGTCTATAAATACTACCTACTTTGGGCTTTTTTGGAGCCCCCGGGGTTTGGGAGGCCGCCATAGTGTATTTCGCGGCAACCCTTTAAGCACCACTGGCACGGATGAGGCCATCAGCCTCGAGCGGGAGGGTCTCGGGGGAGTGGGTGATGTGGCACGCTGCGCCAGGGCTTTAGGGCTTGGGGTTTAGGGACTCAGCTGTCACATTCAGACCGGAAGACATGCATTGAATTCCATGCCCGGTCAATGGTATGCAAGCGCGTTTTCTGCTGGATCCGCAGGCAATCCTGGCGCACAGGACCAAAGTGCATAACTGCTTCTTGGTCGAGCGCCATGGTGCCATCCAGTCGGCGACCTATACATCAGTTCTGCGCACAACCGGTCTGCGACTGCTTCTCAGCCCCACTGGGGCACCTGGAGAAGCCAGCTGATACAGGCAGAAGTGCCTCCGGATGGTCAGACCAAGCGAGCCATTTCTCTTTTATGTCAAGAGAATCGGTAAACCTCAAAACGCAGATGCTTCCTGAGAGAACCGCGAGAGCCTTCTCCCTTGCCTCCCTTGGTCGAGCCACTTGGGAGTTTCCGAAGATAGGGGACCCTAATATAGTACCCTATATAGTAGGATCATTATTGGAAAGACCCCAAAATAAGGTACCCCTACTTTTAGGAAACTCCCACTTCTCGAATCATGCGGTTGAGTGTCCAAGGTGCATGACTGCTGCTTTGAATACCCACCGCTTTGTCGAGACAGGGCCTGTCAAACCGCCACAGCTTTCGTGCTCAACACCTTGGAGTATAGGGTTTAGGGGATCTGGAGTACTTGAATGAAGTCCGGATTACGGTAATGGAACATACGATTGGCAAACAAGGTGGTGTGCGAACCACCGTAACATTTTCTGCCATCACTGAAGGACAGCAGTGGACCTTGCTGCACTGCAGCACTGGTGATAAAGCCATGCATTCTGAGCAGCTTTCTATATAAATCGGGATTCTTGTGATTCGAATGATCTGAACCCTAAACCCTCAGCCGTGTGTGTGCAAAAAAGCCACTCAGGTCTAAGGCTCCGAAGCCTCGACACGTCTTGGATTAGCTTTCGGATCGCGTGCATCAGTGGTCGATGCCGTGACCATGCGGGAGCTTCTCACAGGAGCCAGGCAGAGGAAAGTTCTGTCGATGAGCGAATAGTGATCCCATTCCGAACCATAATCTGCAAGGAATGCCTGCCGTCTTCGCTCTGCATCACTTTCCCGATCTCCGGCTTCAGCCCCAGAGTCAGAACGTACTCCGATGTCATGCATGGCGATTTCGTTCCGGTCCTTGATCCAGATCCAGTGCTTTTCGAGCACCTCGCAAATCAAGTACTCCAAAGACTCTGCAAAGATGATGTGATCGGGGCAGAGCTGCTCATCGGCAAGCGCAGTTACCGCATCTTCGTGCTGTGAGGGGCTCACGAACATCAATGCCCCGCTTGGCAGCTTCCATGGAAGCCCCTCTGACTCAAGCCAGAGGCGAGAAGGCTGGAGCGCTGCACCACAAGCAAGCTCCTCAGCGGCTGAGTACCCGAGCCCCCAAAAGAGGTTAACCCGTTCATTTAGTACGGTAGGATTATATAAACCCAAACAGTCGCCGAGCCCGAGCGTGCAAGCTGTGTGTGCTATATAAACCCAAACAGGTTAAAGGTTACCTACTAGCTACCAAAGCTCCTTCCGGAGCTCTTTGGGGATCCTATTGAGCTTGCCCAGGTAGATCTTTTCAGCTGCGTGGTGGGAAGCTGTCCCTGCTGGAAACACTTGCGATGATGGATTCGCTCCAGAGGACACCCTCAGTTCAACGGCAGACTCCCACAGGGCATGCGAAGTGGCCGCGGCCACATCCTCAGAAATCGTGGCGGCGACCTCCTGGGAATCGTGCACCACTTCCTGAATCACCTCCGGGCCAACCCGTTCGTCAGAGCCGTTGACTTGCACGCTGGGATCAATCCAACTCTCACTGGACTTCGCAATCTGCTGGCCGGTGCTAGCGGGTAACCCAGCACGTCGACGACGGTAGGCAGCTCGCTTCGCTGCACGGCGAGTTCCCACCGGTCGAGGCATGTTCAGAATCTCCGGCAAAGCAGGCACCGCAAGAGCAAAAGCAGCGATGTGGTCGATCACCCCGCTGAAATCCACGCAAACCTTTCCACCCCTGCGCGACCACCACCGTGTGAGCTGGACAATGACGACCTGATACCGATGCCTGCACAAGTGATAGGCCAAGCGTGCTGCCTCCGCAGCTCGGACATTCCTGTTGATGGTCCTTTCGCCCGACTGGCCTGTCAGGTGTGTTGCGAATGTTTCACGGAACATGGGTCCTGTCAAATCGCCTGCCATCAGGCCAGTCGCCTCGCAATGTGCATGGATCAAATACTCGGTCGCATCAAGCTGGCCACAGCGGATGGTCATCTCAAGTAATGTCTGACCATCTCTCCATTTCATGGGCCTCGCAGTCGGATCGCCCCGCTCCAACAAGTGAAACACCGAACGAAAGTATTGGCAGAGCATTGTGTTTCGGCATTTGTGGAATCGACGATGCATGCATGCATAAAGCAATACACGACAGGGATCAACGACCAGGGAACGTATATCTAGGCCGAGATCAACTGCATGCAGAAGACGGTCCATCATGTCCATCCTTAACGCGAGCTGAAAGTTCTGGCGAAATGCCATGGGCATGGGGAAGAGGTGAAAAAGAAGGACTCCGCATGTATGCTTGGCCGCCTCGCTGACTCCGCAACTGATCAGCAAAGCCGACACAGAGTTCTGCCCACCAGCAATGGCACGCCCAAGAAACAAGTCATCCGCACAGAGTCCGCGGAACAGGGGTTTGTGAAGCTGATAAGCTATCATCACAGCCCTCGTCGTCTGACTGTTTGCCTTCCCCGTGTTGGGGTCACACAACTCACAGGGATGGATAAAGCCACGACGTGGAACACCGATGCTGTGCAGGATAGCAGCCTTGGGTGCATCTCCTGAGACTATGGCAATGTCCAAGAGCGACAGGGCAGGACTCAACCAATCCTGACCTGGACATGGATCTGCGTCGGGCGCAATGCAGCGAATGCGGCGAAGATCGCCATCAAAGACAACAACGTAGCAACTTGGCCGAGGAGACTCGTGATTCGCGGCTCTCTGGAATACATTGACGGCTTGTTCATGAATGTGGAGACCGGTGTGCCAACAAGGTGTCTGATAATAGCGGCAGTCTGATAGGCTGACAAGCTCCTCGATGTCAAGCTGTCTTCCAAGCGCGGCCGCCGGATATTGCCTTGACATCTAGCTACCCTGCAGTAGCCCGATTCTGCTGCTTGTCTTGCTTGTCTCTGATATCTGGCCCGATGATGTGTGCCGCACGAAAAAGCCTGCCGAGCCAGACCCTCCAGTACGATGGTTGAGACAAACAGCTAGCCGGGCAAGCAGCATGCACTTTTGCATGAACGCTTTCCGCAGGTCCTTGTGGAGGTGGAGACTCCATGTGTACCTCTGCTTCTCGTCCTGCAGATTGTTGGAGGGCGTGGGCGGTCGTGGGTCGCATTGTCATATTGCTGATGGACGAAATCCTGCATTACCCATTAATAAGGAATATACCAAAGTTGCCGTAGTTTGGAGTCCTTAGGGTCATGCAGGATCTCGTCCATCAACAGTAGGGACCCTGAGGGGGGGGGGTAGTGGGAAGGGGGTCCCACAATAAGGACCTACTACGGCTAAGGCCTATTTAAGGAGTACAGTCTCCTCATCATGATTCCAGATGCAAAACTTTCACTCTAAGGACTCTCAGTGTTGCAGCTAAACCATGTAAAAGCCTGGACCGACACCCCTATCCTGAGATACCTGAAGTCCCTGGAAGCTCACGGTGGATGCCTCCACAAAGGAAATTTCCTTCTTCAGCGTCTCCATGTCATCATCATGTGTATTGCCTGCAGCCGTGGACGCTTAACGGGCCTTGATTTGGCACATCCTTCTGGATGACCTGTTCTTGCATGGTCCCCCGAAAAATCTCGTCGCCTAGTTTTCGTAACAAGCGGAAAAGATATGCCCCACTCCGAAGCCTCCAATTTCCAACGTTGGTTTGCCTGTAGTGGTGCTAGGTCCAAAACAAGGTCGCCAGGTTCCGGGCGGACGGAGAGGTCAGCGCTTCTCATTCCAGACTTTTGTTTGAGCGCCTTTTTACAGCTGCCCATCCATCTGAACTGCTATAAGGCCATTGGCCAGGAGAAGGTGCTGGGGCTTACAATCCAGACTGTTGTTTTATGGGCCCTTTTCCGTCTGCACTTGCGTCCGAAATTCCAGGTTTGGAGGAGCCATTGGTCCCAACCCTTGCTATCCAGACTTTCGCCAGACTATTACTATTATTACTATTACTACTATTACTACTATAATTACTATTATTACGAATATTACTATTATTGCTCTTATTACTATTATTACTGTTTCGGGCTCAGGGTTCGGAGCTTGCTCTCTCACAACGATTCCACCAGATCCGGGTCCCTAGGTTCGTGGTGGGTAAAGAATTTGAAATCGATGCCATCGTGAGAGCGGGCCTTAATAACTACTGCTGATGGACAAAATCCTGCATGACCCTAAGGACTCTAAACTATGGGAGCTATGGTATATTCCTTGTAATAGGTAATGCAGGATTTTGTCCATCAACAGTATTGTGGGGGGGGCTCCTTATTATGGTTATAGTATAATATATCCCCAAACCCTACTCTCATTGTTAAGGCCCCTATCAGTTGACATGTCGCACTCCACTAAAGAGTCACTACGAGCAAACAGTTAGTTAATACAGTAACGGAGAATCAGCGCTAGACCCTAAGAATAAAAGGTTTTGGGGGTTCCTTACTATAGCTATTGTACAATATGCCCCCAAACCCTATTCTATTTGCTAAGACCCCTATGGTAGACATGGCTTAGCTGCTGGGAACGACCCCGTGTTCAGGCCTCAACAAAAGGCTGAAGGGTTTTAAAAGGTAGAGCTTCGGGTACAGCATTTCTTCGCTACACAGACACAGACAGCTCGTTGCTGTTCTGATTGGTTGACAGAAGCGATACGGTGGCCTTACACATCAGAACAGAGTTTCGCAGAATGTCATGGTATGATTATAAGTGTAGAAACATATCCAAACGATTCACCATATGAGTAGTAGGCGTCTATACCATGCAATTCTCGCAAAGGACATGAAACAGTTGGCCCGCCCTCCACCCCCGCCTCGTTCCCTCCCCACAAGAAAAGAAACCTGCATTCCAAACCCTCAACCCTCAACCCCTAAACCTGAAACCCTAAAGCCTGAACCCTAAACCCCTAAACCCTAAACCCTATAGATCCTTTAAAGGAGCCCAATAGATTCCTTTAAAGGAACCCTAGAGCCTAAACCCCATAACTGGGCCCAAGCAGCTGTAGGCCAGCAGCGAACAAAGAAACGGAGGCAAACCATCTTGGACCGCCTCATCCGGGCTTTCTTCGGCTCGGGAAGGGCATGTGGCAGTTTAGCATAAGAGAGGGTTTAGGGTTTAGGATGTATGTAAGTTCTGTAACTGTATGTCGGGCTGTCTCCAGTCATGACCTGCTTGCTGTTTACACTCTTGCTACTAGTACATATATGCAGTCGTGCATGCAAACGCTTGATGCAACACAGACACATGCACGCATACGTATTATATCTTTTACGTATGTCCATATGTTCATACAACATTACGTGGAAATGCGATGGCATGCCTTTGTATATGTCATGGAAACGTATGCCAAAGCTTGACTTCTCATTGCATGTAAAAAAATCCCCAGGGAACCCAGGAACGTTTACGACAGCCTTTGATTGCTTTTGAGCAGAGGGGCCTGGGGTCTATCTCTAGTTAGGGTGGGAGAGGATTTAGACTTTTAACACTGTAACGGTAACGTGAATTGCAGGAAGGTTCAGAATGCCTCGAACACGAGCCTTCATCCTCGGCCCCACAAAAAAACCAAGGCCGCGAGAGCTTAGTTTCAAGATGGTTGGAATGCACTGTGGACCTCCGAGCTACGAACACCGGTGGTTGGCTCCCGCTTGCTGGTGTTTCCGGCACAAGGCTCGAACATCCAAAATCTGAAGCATGGCCAGAAGCGGGACCCTTGTATGAACAGCCATGAGGTCGTCAGGGCAGCGAGTAGCAGCAGCAGAAGGCTTGCTCAGGATTTCACAGTTTAAAATGCAGCGCAAGCGTCCACAAGCCGTCTGCACTGCAATGAGAGTAGTCGTGGGGTTCCTCATGAGTACTAGCAGCCGCCCTGGGAGTGCAGCTGCATCCGCACCTAGCCTTTTTTTCGGCTGCCAGCAATGCCACTCATCAGGTGCACTACAAGGCTCGCTCAAAGTCGGCGTCGCTTCGCTCCCGAATCGGATGTAAAGCAGCAAGACCCAGAGCGTAGTAAGTGTAAGTCTTCATCTTCCAACTGGTCAGGGCCGCTCGCACACCGTGCATGCGCAAAAGCTGTTTTGCCATATCGATCGCGCAAGTCTTTGTCCGCGCCAGCTTGAACAAGAAGCCGTACAACATCGCCATGGCCGAAGCTTGCTGCCAACATAAGCGCGGTCATGTCTTCATTATTCCTCGCATCCTTGTCCGCGCCAGCGTCCAGCAACATGCGCACGATAGGACACCGCCCTTGGATCGCAGCTCCCACTAGAGCATCATTCAGGTCATCATCCTCCACTCCGGTGCCGATTTGAGTCCCCGCATTCAGCAGAAGGGGTACAATCTCCGAGTGCCCTTCCCACACTGCTTTCGTGAGTGCCGTCTCGCCGAAATGCTCATCCTGGACGCACACGTCCGCCCCGGAATCCACAAGAAACCGCACAATCGCAGTCTTGCCTGACTCGGCCGCGAGCATAAGAGCCGTTCGACCGTCATAGTCCTGCAGGTCCTTGTCAGCGCCAGCTTCCACCAGCACCCGCACGAGCTCCGAGTGGCCAGCATCTGCTGCACACATGAGAACAGTCCTGCCGGACTCTTCATCCCGCACGTCCTTGTCCACACCAAGGTCCATCAACATGTGGACGATCTTGATGTATCCTTCCTTGGGCTCGTCAACTTGCGAGGACTTCCACCACCACAGCTCTTGGGAAGCTGCTTCAAAAAATGCGGTGCATCCTGTCACATCCGGCAAGTGGATGTCCGCACCAGCTTTCACAAGCAAGCGTGCGACGTCAGCAAAACCAGCATCTGCTGCATGTATGAGGGCAGTCCTCCACTTTTCGTCCCGCGCATCTTTGCTGGCTCCAGCTGCAATAAGAAGCTGTACGACGTTGGCATGGCCGCGACTTGCTGCAAACATAAGGGCGGTCATACCGTTCTCATCATCCCTCGCATTCATGTCAGCGCCAGCAGCCAGCAACATGCGCGCGACGGGACTGCGCCCTACACCGGCAGCCATCAGTAGAGCATCATGCAGGCCATCCTTCCAGACGTCGGTGCCGACGTTACTTCCAGCATCCAGCAACAGACGTACGATCTCAGAGTGCCCTTCAAACACTGCTTTCATGAGTGCCGTGTCGTAGCTAGCATCCCGGAGGCACACATCCGCGCCAGAATCCACAAGAATTCGCACGATCGCAGTCTTGCCCGACTCGGCTGCGAGCATCAGCGCCGTTACGCCTTCACAGTCCTGCAGGTCCTTGTCAGCGCCAGCTTCCACCAGAAGCCGCACGAGCTCGAGGTGGCCAGCATCTGCTGCTTGCATAAGAGCCGAAAAGTCATTTTCATTTCCATCCACCCAGTCCTTGTCCATACCTGCTTGCAGAAGGAAGCGTACAGTCTCAAGAAGTCCGCATTTGGCAGCTATAGAAGACTCTTCGCCGGCAGCATCCTGATGATCTTCAGGAATGTCAGACAACCGTACCAAGTGGCAGTCAGCCGGCGCATCCATAGAATCCTCTAAGCAGTTGCCCTCAGACACGAGCTGTTGCAAGCATATCGGGAAACCAAACTCCTTGCGCAAATGTGCCTTCAGTTCCAAAACGGAACGACACTCCTCCATTGAGACTGCAGCAAGTGCTTCTCCGGAGAAGCTCCGCACGGACAGCATGTCAGGAAGAGCACATGGGGATATATAAACCTACAACACGGTTATATGCAGTTGGTAGTAGCTATCAGTGAACTACGATACCCAGTAACCTAAGAACAAAAAGGCCTCTCTTTTCGGTATTGGGTAACTTTATAAGGAACCTAGGACTACAATGAAGCTTCAGTCCGAGCCGACTCTTTCAACTTGACCTGCGCCAGCTCATTAAGGTAGAAGCCAGAAAGTTGGAATATCATTATCGTAACTCCTCTAAGGTAAATTATATAGGGGATCCTACCATTAATCCATATTCCAACTTTCTGGAGTTCCCATATAAGGTGCTATAAACGAAAGCTGTCAACCCTGATGGCTTCCTGCTGCAGGTGACCGCAAACCCAGCTGCTGTTGTCGGGTTTATCTAGAGCCATAAACCTTCGACCCTCAAACCCCTAAACCCTACAGTAAAAGCCAGAAAGTTGGAATATGATTATCCTAAACCCTTTATGGTAAATTATAGGGTATCCTACCCTGAAACCATATTCCAACTTTCTGGAGTTCCCTTTAAACCCTAAAACCCAGGACCGCAGCCCACACTGCGAGATCGTTTTGATTCCTTCACAGTGTGCTTCGATTTGCTGGTGCAAGCATTGTTCAGAGAGCTGAGTTGAAGGCAAGCAGGGTCCAAGCCCCAAGACCCATACCCTAAATGGTAAGTCTTAAACCTCAAGCCTTGACCTTTAAACCTGAAGTCTAGGCTCATCGACCCTGCATATGTAGATACTTTAGACCCTGGGCATGAAACCCAAACCTTAAAAATCTAAAAACCCCAAACCCTAAAAGCCAAACCTGAAATCAAAACCCCAAAACCAAAAGCGAAAGCTGAAATCAAAAGACGAAGGAATCGGTGCTTGACACCTTCGGCCCGTAGCGCACGAAGTATTGGCAAGCCTGGTAATTCTCGGTTCCCGGGAGATGACATGAGCTTTGGATAAGAGTCCTAGAATTTAAGCTCTAGGGAGTTAGGGTTGAGGGCTTTAGGGGTTTAGGGGTGTAGGGCTTAAGGGTTCTATGAAATGTCGGGCGGAGGGTTCAGGGCTCAAGGTCAGCTTGGAGAGATTAGGCTCTCTCTCTCGCTCTCTGCGGGTTTCGGGCTCAGGGTTTCGGATTCAGCGTTTGGGGCCTGGAGTTACAAGTAGCTACGACGCAGGGTCCGGGGCGTAGAAGATGAAGCCATGAATATGGCTAACCAGTGGTTTTGGTGTTCCCTTGGCTCTTTAGCTCCTTATTTAATAAGGATTATCATCATCCCTGGCTCCTTAGCTCCTCCAATATCAATGGTTAGATGGGACGAAGAGTAGAACTGGGCCTCCAAGGGTAAAAGGAGGGAGGACCCCTAGGTGTATACCCTTAATGTAGCTATTATATACCCATGACAAAGCCCATTACAGGGTGGGGGTCCCCATTAAGGGTCCCTCCTATTCCCCTTTGAGGGTCGGAAAGCCGAGACTTTGTACTCTAACTGATATACGGGCCTTTGTAAACGGAATATCTGTTTCGGGGTCTGGTATACCGTACTTTCTAGGGATTGCTACAATATCTGTGTCGTGGTCTGGTATACCGTACTTTCTAGGCTTTTGAAACTACTATGCCATTCGACCCCTATATTGGAGGTTCGTCCGGCTAGAGCTGGTGGAAACCAGGCCGGAACGGAGTGAACTGAAGCAGAATGATACTCTGACAGCCGTACACCGCAACACAGACTGAACTGAAAAGGACCAGAACGATCTTAACCAAGACGACCAAATCAGGGCGGTTCGTATTAATTGTTATCCTATCTGACACAATGAGTACCTCGCGCTAAACGTCCTGGGGGGTTGCTTGGACATCGGGCTACATCTGAATCCCAGCTTCAAAGAATCTGTACGACCCTGTAAGATCCACGGAAGTCAACGCGACACGTTACCTATGTGCCTCGGCACTATTTAAAAGAGGCTCCTTTCTACTGCTTCCCTTCTCGCGATTTGAAGCAGGGTATCCGACACTCAAGACAGGGAATCAGCGGCTCTGTTGAGGGGCGTGAGGTTGGGGGTTTTTGGTTGATTCTTTGGTGATGAGACTTCGTTTTCCTACTTGGAGGGGCAGTGGACCTAGTAAGTAGGTTATAAGTAGAGTTATAAGTTCCCTAAATGGAGTTACCCCAATTGTAACCCTACTTATAAACGACTTACTAAGTCCCCTGCCCTTCCAAGTAGAGGCCAAAAGAATCCTCACCAGCACATGGGTCTACGTTCAACTCTTTCAGACAACGAGGCAAACTGCGAAACTGCGCCGTGGGGCGAAATACATGGATGTCAGCAGCGCTGCCAGGCGAATGAAACGAAGCACCTCGGACGCGCTTCAAGGTTTCACGGGTCCTTGTATGCCTTCGAATGAGCCAGAATCGCTGTTTGAACTTTGGTACCTGAAGTTAGCTTCCCTAGCAGGGACTGCATGAGACCTGAAGTCCGCAAGACGGTGGCACGCCAGATCCTGGACGCAACTGGCTACCACCAGATTGAGATCCCAAAAAAGGGGGCCAAAACCACAAGCTGAAAACCCGGAGCCGAGAGACTTTGGGAGCCCGGGGCTCAGGCTGTAGGCTGTAGGGTGTAGGGTGTAGGGTGTGGGGATTTTGTAGGTTAAGGGGCTTCTTGGTGGTTCACGGATAGCTTCTTTTGCACGGGATCTAGGGTTTGGTGTTTATTTCGGGTAGTGCTAAGTTGTGGAAAGCCCGAAACTTGAACCCTACAAGTACGTGCCTTCTGGTCCCAGGTATTCTCCGTCATGCAGCCCTGACCTACCCCTGAGCCAGACTTTTACACCAAACCAAACAAGGGATTTGGGATTCAGATTACGGGTTCAGCTTCGATGTTTTAAGATTTGGAAAACGGAGCTTTGCAGCTCAATTTCCAGAGGTTCGGTAAACTATACTCTCAAGCGTTGACGCTGAGCACCAGCACTTAACCCCTAGCTCAGGACTGAGCGCTGTGCTCTACTTGGAGGATCATGGGTAGCTATAAGTAGGGTTATAAGTAGGGTAACTATACTTCTAACCCATAGTCGGGGACGTTTGACCCTACTTATAACTACCCATGTGTCCCCAAGTAAGCCCTAAACCCTAAACTCTTTTGGTATTTGGTAACTTTATAAGGGACCTAGGACTACAAAAAGGGAATAAGGGTACTACTGGGCATCCTAGGGTTGACGAAACCAGCTCGGCACTAGGGCGCAAGACTCGGAATGGGGGGCTAATTCGAGGTCAAGGTACGGCATTTTTAAAGGCTGTAAAGCCAAAACCGCCGTAAACTCAAAAACCTCAAATCCGAAGATCTGACCCTTGGGCTGTTTGGACCCGCCCAGAAGGCATGGCATCTACCAATCTAAGAAACAACGGCAACAAGCTAGGGGATCTACCAAAAGCACTGAATTTAACCTGCCAACCCCTGAACCCTAAATCCCTCAACGCTAAAAGCCCTAGGCCTAAAAACAACAACGATATCCTAGAACCCCAATGGGGTGTCCTTGCGTCATAAGCCAAGGGGCACAAGCAAGAATCCTGAACCACAGGGGCGGCCTCGTGGCTGAGTTTATCAGGTTTTAGGCTCCGTTTTGGGATCGTACTGTTGATGGACAAATCCTGCATGACCTTAACGACTCTAAACTATGGGAACTATGGACTATGGTATACTCCTTATCATGGGTAATGCAGGATTTTGTCCATCAACAGTATTAGTGACTAGTGCACTGTCTTCGGAGGTTCAACAGTGAGCTGTCAAGGAGGGGGGCTGACAGATCATCATTGGAGACACCCAAACTCTGAACCCCAAGTCCTAAGCCCAAAAAGGCCTTAAGCCCGAAAATCGCTGGACCGTGAGCTTTCACAATAAGCAGGAGTCCAATCCAAGCCCTGCCTATGGCGCACTATGTCGCAGGCTCTGCGTTATGGTTGGCGAGGCCTAAACTTCTCTGTTGTACCCTGTACCCTGAACTCTAAACCCCGAACCCTAAAAGCCCAAGCCCGTGGGTTTGGGGAAACCCGGCGTTGAGCCCATGACGTGATCTCCACCACAGGCTGCAAGTAGCAGAGCTCCTCACTTGAGGCATTTGCGAGGAAGAAAGGCGCCTTAATGATTAGAATAGGGTTCCTTTAGAGGGATCTATAAGGGTTACGATAAGGGCGCCTTAACAATTAGAATAGGGTTCCTTTAGAGGGATCTATAAAGGTTACTATAAGGGATTTCTAAGGGTGTAGGGGCCTTAATAGTTAGAATAGGGTTCCTTTAAAAGGGATCTATAAGGGATCTCTAAGCGTACAAAAATTGTAGCGGCCGCGAGGTCTGCTATACTATCATTATAACTAAGGAGCCCCCTGAAAAGTATGGGTAATTACTTAGGGCCCTATATTATAGGGCTGGTTTGAGGCTTGGGGGTTTACGCTCTCACAACTCGGACGCAGCCAGGCCAGGTTCTTAGGTGCGGACTTGGTGTGAAAAGTCGAATGAGATCGATTCTCGGGGCTTCGGGTTTGAGGCTTTATGGCTTTCGGCGCTCGGCATTTCGGCCTGGGGATAGTATCGTTTACAAGTTCGCGTACGGCTCTGGAGCTCAGGCTCTCAGTCTTCGGGTGTAGAGTCCTTTAAAAGGATCCTATAAGGGTTCCTTAAAGGGATCTTATAAGGGATCTATAGGGATGAGGTCCCAGAGACTCCAATATTCCTTCATTAGGGAATATACCTTAAATCCATATTAAGGATCCTACTATAACTTAAGGTATATTCCTTCAGGGATATTGGAGTCTCTGGGGACGTACTACCCCAATAAGCCACAGATATAAAAGGTTAAACTTTCCGATTCCTACCCAGCAAGAAGAGCCCAAAAAGCTTAAGGGTTAGGTATTGGCGATCTAAGAAGAGGCTCAGGACTTCAATGGTACGTACTCCCACAGCCCCAAGCCACCAGCACCCCACATCCCAAACTCGAACCCT